TTTTTTTTTTGTGGTACGCGGGCCTCGCACTGTTGTGGCCTCTCCCGTTGCAGAGCACAGACTCCGGACTCGCAGGCTCAGCGGCCATGGCTCAAGGGCCCAGCCGCTCCACAGCCTGTGGGATCTTCCCGGACTGGGGCACGAACCCATGTCTCCTGCATCGGCAGGCGGACTCTCAACCACTGCGCCGCCAGGGAAGCCCTACCTCTCCCTTCTTAGTTCCCACACGCTGCAGAAAGGCTGGCCATCAGCTTTGTGTCATCTGGAACTCCCTCAGGCTGAGTGTGATTTCTGGAAGATGATTTATCATTTCAAAATTCTTCCATGAATAAACAATTTGGGTAGAAAAGCATGGTGGAGGATGTTCTATGGAGTTCACTGTACAGAGATTTCTTTCTTCGGAAAGAAATCCACGTGGAGGCTACAGGGTGGTTTCATTAAAGCAAATTCATTTTAATTCTAGACCAGTGCTTCTAAAATTTTAATGTACTTCTGAATCACTTGGGATCTTGCAAAACGGCAGATTCTGGTTCAGCTGGTCTGGGGTGAGCCTGAGAGTCTCCGTTCCCAACAAGCTCACAAGTGATGCAGTTGCTACTGGTCTCAGGACCACACTTTGATTAGCAATGCTTTCAACGAAGAATTCCTTAAAACAAGTTGGTTCTGACTCCAGACTTTCTGCCATCTCTCTCAAATACCTAAATACAAATGGCCTGTGAAGAGGCAAAAGTCTCACCCAAGTGTCTAATCTTTAGGTGATACACAGAACTGAAAGTCAGCCCTCAGAGAGTGCTGTCTTTTTTTTTTTTTTTTTTCCAACCATGAAAAGGTGCCTATTTAATAGACACTGTTCTGAAATGTGGATTTTCATTTTTGATTGCTTTCAATGGAAAAGGAACATGACAATAGCAAGATATAAAAGTCTCATCTAGGAGGGAAAAAAAAAAGAGCATGTGCCCAATACAGGAGTTACAGAAAAAGCCTGAACTAGAAAGGGAAAAATTGAGCAAGTGATCAGATGAAGAAAAGCGGGGGAAGAGAACTCTGTCAAAAACAAAGTTCTTTCTCCTAGAAAGCCAGAGGTTCAGTTCAATTCTCGGAGCCCTAAGGGAGCTTTAATGAGCCTGAGTTGGCCTGAGGTGACTTTTGGATGGCTCTTTCCAGGTTGCCGTTTATATACTAGGAAAGAGGGCCCACATTTGGGGCCACTAAAACCGTGAGAGGAGTAACATCGGGTTTATAGGGAAGACGCAGGGCCTCGCTGTTGCCAGAATCTGCACGCAGCACAGATTCGGCTGCTTCTCTCTTCTTGCCTCACAGTATGTGTTCCCTGAGATGGTTTTTGGGTATTTGAGGTCTGCCTGGAGTGGTCCACCCAGGCTTAGAGGAAGAGAGCTAAGAGTGTGCTTTATATTTAGGTCCTTGAAGGCGAACTCATTAGTACAACCTTATAGTATCAGGAACACCGGCCACGCTCTGCTACTTGATAGCTTTGGGGCTTTGGGCATTGGAAGCCTCAGTTTTCTCATCCACAAAATGAGGATGATGCTGCCTAACTCCCGGGGTTGCTGTGCGGGATGGGAGTTGTGAACACACTCAGTAAATGTAGACAGTAGTGAGCAGGGGGCTAACCAATCTGTAACCTTCCCGGCCTTTGTTTTATTCATTCAGTAAAACCTGTGACAAGCACTGCTGTATATAATGTTCTTTTCCCCTAGAAGAACCCTTCCTTCCTCTCTATTTTTTGCCCAGTGAACACATTTCTCTTTAAGACCCAACTTAAAATGCCATCATCTCTTTCATATTTCATTTCCCCCCTGCACTAGGTATAACCCTTTGTCCTAGTGTCATCTCATCCACTAGAGCATAAGCCCATTGAAGGCAAGAACCTTGACTTTATTTATTTTCATGTCCCAGGCACCCAACACAGCATCTGATACACAGAAGATGCTCAGCTAATGCTGACTGACAGCAAGAAAAGACATTCCCAAATTGCTGCCACACCGTTTAGAAAATAATTACCATGGGCGGTTACAAAAGTACTACAAGAGTGTCATGGCGATTGAGGCCACTTCCACTGGGAGGAGGCCTGGGAGGTTGGAGGAGGACTCAGGAAAGGTTCTAGAGAAGAGATGGCACTTAGGATGAGATCTGAGGGAGGCAGTGGTTGGAGCATCTCAGGGGAGAGACACCTTGTGCCGATGTGTGGAGGGGGTGACGTCATTGAACTGTTCAGGGAGACAGAACAGTCTGCATCGTCTAGAACATGGTAGACCTGCAGGGAACCAGTAGGTAAGGAGGAGGAATAAATAGATTGGCACCCAATCATAAGCCCCTGTGAGGATTCCGAGTGTCACACAGCAGGCAGTGGGAACCACTGAAGGGTTTAGAGCAGGAGTGTAATATCATCTGAGCTAGGCTCCGTTTCCTTTCTCTGCTTCCAAGTCTCTGACCCAGGACGCTCCCTGTTGGGCTGCCCTGTCTGCACATCAGACTTGTGGCACTAGTACCGCTGGCTTAAGCTCCTGGAGGTCTTGTTTGGGCCATGTGGCCGTAGCATTGAGCTGTGTGCCAGCAGGCAGGCACAAATGCTGTCTGCCCAGCTCACTGAGTTGGAGGTGCCAGTCTCTTGGAGTTTGAGAAAGATTCCTTACGTGGTAGAGCGTAAGCTTCTCCTGCAATGTTATGGCTAAAAGCCACAGTTTCAACCTGTACTTAACTCAGTCTGTAAACAAAAGTCCCAGCGCCTCAAATTATAAAGCATGTTTCTTCAACAGAAGGCCACTCTAATATAAGCAGCATGGAAACGCTTTTGATTTATCCCCGAGGTGAAATCGGAAAGCTCTGGGAGACAGGAGAAGGATTTCATACCACAAGTAGCGAATCTCTCATCTCAGAGGCCTGAAGTGGCAAGTTGGAGAGAGAGTCAGTGGTTCTTTAATTCCTGAGAGTAACAAAGAGTGTAGGTGAAGATTGCTCTCCAGTAAATATTGATTAGATACGGGAAGAAAAGCACCCATGTGACACTTTTCCTG